AAGGCAGGCTTTCAGGAAGGCACACCAGTATTTGCCTTAGTGGTATCAGCTACTTTAGCTAGCTTATTATATAATTTAAAATAAAACCTCTTCTCTATGAAATTCTGGTGTTAGTCTCCACATTTATGTTGCGGCTTTTGAGCTGGAAGAAAAATAAGATTTCCCAATTTGGCTAAAAATACTATTTAATATGCAGCCTTAGATGGTGACCTCATTGTACAAATAAAACAACATCTATAACCTGACTCAAACATTTACACAAATGTAAATGACAAAATGCAGTAGCAAAAAAAGTAGATATACACAGCAGCAGGCTTCTCTTTATCCCCATTTAGCACAAGTGAAAGAGAACATAAGTAAGTAAGATAAGATAAGATAACCTTTATTAGTCCCACACGTGGGAAATTTGTTTTGTCACAGCAGGAGTGGACAGTGCAAAAGTTATGAGGCAAAAATTAGAATACAATAAGAATAAATACAGTACACAACTGTACAGAATAGAATAAAATACTATATACAGTAGAATAAAATAAAATAAATATACAATAAGATAAAAATAGAATACAAATACAAATACTATATACAACTGAGTAAAAATACAACGATGACAGAAAGGATTATTGCACTTAGTATTATTGCATATGTATGGATGTGTGTGCTTGATCAGTTAAAGTCTTTATTATGGAGTCTGACAGCAGTGGGGAGGAAAGACCTGCGAAATCTCTCCGTCCCACACCGTGGGTGCCGCAGTCTCCCACTGAAGGAGCTGCTCAGTGCTGTCACAGTCTGCTGCATGGGGTGGGAGATGTTGTCCATCAGGGATGACAGCTTAGCCGCCGTTCTCCTGTCACTCACCACCTCCACTGGGTCCAGAGGGCATCCTAGAACAGAGCTGGCCCTTCGGATCACCCTGTTCAGTCTCTTCCTGTCCCCAGCAGAGATGCTGCCGCCCCAGCAGACCACACCATAAAAGATAGCAGAAGCCACCACAGAGTCATAGAAGGTCTTCAGGAGTGGGCCCTCCACTCCAAACGACCTGAGTCTCCGCAGCAGGTACAGCCTGCTCTGCCCTTTCCTGTAGAGGGCGTCTGAGTTATGAGTCCAGTCCAGTCTATTGTTCAGATGAACACCAAGGTACCTGTAGCTGTCCACAGCCTCAATGTCCATACCTTGGATGTTCAGTGGTTGCAGTGGAGAATGCTTGTGCCTGCGGAAGTCTACCACCAGTTCCTTGGTTTTACTGGCGTTGATCTGGAGGTAGTTCAGCTGGCACCAGTCCACAAAGTCTTGGGTCAGACCTCTGTACTCCTTGTCGTCCCCATCAGTGATGAGGCCGACTATTGCAGAGTCATCAGAGAACTTCTGCAGGAAGCACTGGGTGGAATTGTGGGAGAAGTCTGCAGTGTAGATGGTGAAGAGGAACGGAGCCAGAACCGTTCCCTGTGGGGCCCCCGTACTGCAGACGACCCTGTCCGACACACAGCCCTGAGTCCTCACATACTGTGGTCGGTCGGTGAGGTAGTCCAGGATCCAGGTAGTGAGGTGATGGTCCACTCCAGAGTTCACCAGCTTGTCCTTTAGAACCGAGGGAAGAATGTGTTGAAGGCACTGGAGAAATCAAAGAACATGATTCTCACAGTGCTTCCAGCGGTCTCCAGGTGAGCGAGGGAACGATGTAGGAGGTGAATGACGGCATCATCCGCTCCAATGCCAGGCTGGTAGGCAAACTGAAGTGGGTCCAGTGATGAGCTTGATTAGGCGCCGAAGCTGAGCCAGGACCAACCGCTCCAGGGTCTTCATCAGGTGGGATGTCAGAGCCACCGGCCTGTAGCTGTTGAGGTCCTTGGGGCGTGAAGTCTTTGGCACTGGTACAACACAGGAGGTTTTCCAGAGCTGTGGGACTCTTCCCAACCTCAGGCTAGCCTTGAAGTTTGGACTGCCAGCACGGATACACCATGACCAAGGTGGCGAATTTGAGAACCAGCTCTTTTCCCAGCTAAAAAGGAACTGTGGCATATTGGGATCCCCAACTAAACCATACCACCCACAAGGGAATGGACAAGTTGAGCGGTTCAACCGGACGTTACTACAAATGTTGAGGACACTTACTGATAGGCAGAAGACAAGTTGGAAAGAGTCCTTGAACAAGCTTATCTACGCCTATAACTGCACACGGAGTGAGGTAACTGGGTTTTCTCCTTTCTACCTTCTCTTTGGAAGGTCCCCAAGGTTACCTATTGATCTGCTGTTTGGTCTCACCTCTGAGACAGGGAAAATAGACCACCGAACCTACATGGAGAAATGGACACGAGAAATGCAAGAGGCCTATGAAATAGCATAGGAGAATGCAAAGAAGTCAGCAGACAGGAGTAAAAAACAATATGATGGGAAAGTGAGAAGCTCTGTGTTATACCCTGGCGATCGTGTTCTTGTCCGAAATCTAACCCCTAGAGGAGGAACGGGGAAGCTTCGTAATCACTGGGAACATAACATCCATGTTGTCATCTGTCAAGTTGCAGAAGGCCTCCCCGTGTATGAGGTGAAACCAGAGCAAGGGAGGGGAAGGTCAAGAATCATGCACCGCAACTTGCTGCTGCCATGTGATTACTTATCCCTGGAAAGGCCACCAGAAGTATCACCGAAGCAAAAGAAAAGAAGAGTGAGGGAAAAAGACGCAGAACAGGTGAACCAGGAAGTAGAAGATGACGAGGAGGAATGGGGGTACTATTATGGGCCCGTAACACAGACTCAAGTGCCCAGTACAGAGAGGGTCACAGAGCATGGTGATGACCAGGAGAAACCAGAGGCCGGTGGTAATGGACCACTGGGTGAAGAAAGGCTCATGTCGTACACAGAGGAGCCTGAGACACAGGACGAAAATAGGCCACAGGAAGAAGACCATCAAGAGGAAGATGGACAAGTAGTTGGAGAGGTAATGGATGACACTCTAGCATCTCCACGCCCATGCTTGCCTGAAAGCAACAGAGAAGGGACCTATAGTTTGCCAAGGAGGGAGAGACGAGCCCCTAAGGTTTTCACCTATGATCAGCTGGGTACTCCAACATGCTACAGTACAGTGTGTACAAACGAAATGCCCTACCAGTATCAACCCATACAACACAGAGACATTCAACCAATAACCATGTGGCCTAATTCATTCCAAATTTGTTAGCCACTATTCATGCAAGGATACTGAACAAAGAACAGGCTAAGACTCAGTACAAAAGAGGAAGCTAAGATTAAAAACAACTGGATTTTGTGACATTTTGTTAAGTTTTAGTTCATAAGAGTTGTGATGTCGGGACGACATCTAATTTTGTGGGGGAGTGTGTGATAGATTGATTATTTGTTGAAGTTCATAATGGAGTAAAAAGTTGTGGTTAAAAGTTACCCAATATATTATTCAATTTATTTCAAATATGTAAATCTATAAACAAGGGTAAAAGAAGTCCCATTAAGAGACGTAATGTAACACAGGCTAAAATAGTTAAAAGAGTTCATGACTATGTTCAACCGGACAATCCTTAATGTGACTACAACTTGTGTAACATTCAATCTGTGATCCACTTGTCGAGCCTGGGGAATAATCCATGTGATTTAGTGATCATGATTGATTAGTTATGCCTGCCGTTGCCGGAAGGGGGAGCTCTGGCCACGATGCCTCATTCGCAATGAAGCTGCTGAAAGAGAAGCATCGTGTCTGAGCGTCGTCATTGACTTATCCCCTTTTCAGGTAATAATTGTGCAATTCTGCTGTTGGACTTTACAAATATGTATGTTGAGTTGTACTGACTGTGTTTCCAAATGTACCAAGAGGATACTAGGAATACTTAGATGACCTGTGTTAACTGTGATGTTAGGATAAGCTATAAGCAGCAAGCTAAGCTAAGCGCTCTGTTGGTGGCTAGCATGAAGCATTATCGTGCCAGACTGTGTATGAAACATACATTGTGTGCATTTTGCATTTGATTTGGACGAAGAACATGTTTATTTTGTGTGAAGGGACAAATGCCTATTAGTATTTTTATATGAATATTTTGTTTATTTTCTGTACATTTTAGTTTAATAATCTAAGTTTGTTTATTGATTCATCAGCTGTTTTTGTAAATTCTTACATTCAATTTAATCTGTAACTTATAGAAAAGGAAAAAAAAACAGTCTTGAGATATATTGTCTTACAACTAACAGAGACTGTACATCGTTGTTAGGATGTTTAATACTTTTGTATGTATGTTTATATTTCTGGATCATTCGCAATGAAGCTGCTGAAAGAGAAGCATCGTGTCTGAGCGTCGTCATTGACTTATCCCTTTTTCAGCCCCTTTTCAGGGTGTAACACTGACAGCAGAACAATTCAGTGCACTAAGCGTGTTTGCAGAGGAAGTACACTGGTCCCTTAATAGTTTCAACATGAAATATTCAAAAACAAATATATGGTCCACTGTTTGTGTGACAGAGACAGAAATGTCTCTGTGTGCATGTGGAGAAATATGCTGTCAAATCAGACCATGAACAGGTGTCATGTGGAATTAAAACACACGAAAACAACGCTGCACTCACTCAGAGGTCAAAGGTCAAGTACAGTAACCAAGTTGACACCAAGCGGAGAAAAACAACTGGCAGCAAAGGCAGGAAGGTGTCCTTTCCAGCTAAACCAAAGAGGAATATAAAGATAATGAAGGTTTGATCACAGTTTGAATCAGTCATATTTCATTCATTACAGTGATGTACTGAAAGATCCAGGATCAGTCCAATTCATCAGCACTTTGATCAAACTCTAGAGAAATATTCTTCGCAACATTGCTAACTCTGGTTTCCTCCCAGCTATATTGTATTATTTCTATCTGTGCTGTATTTTTCCTAACTCCATGTATTGTGTTCATTATTGTAACAAGTCTGGGCTTGTGAGGACATTCCTGACAAACATTTATAATATTGCGCAACTGACAGCAAATGACAAAATCTCAAGTTCAGACAGGTGCAGAGATTTAAAAATCAATACATGCACACACATGCAAACCTGAGCTTCAAGTGGAGTCACAACTCCTTCCAGGAAGCATCTCACCTATCTCTTCGTGTTTAGTGTCCAGAAGCTTCTTGTTCGTGTCTCTATTTGAAGAAACTGTAAGTTTTCTTTGTTTCCTCCTTTAACAGTTTGTCTTTAGGAACTTTACTGTTTGTTTCTGCTCTTTAATGTTTGTTTAGCTGTTATTTCAGGGCAGACTTTGGATCACTCTTTTATTTGAAGACTAATCCACATGATTATAAATTATTGATTGACTGGAATCAAACAGTTTGATGAACAGCTGATGTTTGATTCATTTCGTCACAAAACAAACTGTGTGTGTTTATTTCCTGGAAGAAAACTGTTGACTCTCCATTAAAGTCACACACAGCAGTGTGCTGCTGTTTTACCTTCAGTCCTTTCAAAACAAAATAAAATAAATGTTAGTTGTAACGTGTTTGATTGTAGTCAGGCAATTAAATTCATATTTCCTTCATGGATCATTAAATCTATTTGTGTTATCATTTGGTTTTCTCCAAATGAAGTTCTTCCTAATGTGTAGTGTTTGAAACCTGGAACCAGAATGCCATATGAAGGAAATATAAATGACTGATTGCAGAGCTGCTGATTATAAACTGAATAATTGAGTAGCTCTAAACAAATCCTAAATATTCAGGTAATTAATGATCATTTCTGTTTTAAAGTATCATTGTGAAAATATCTGCTGTAAGGGTTTGATAGATTTCTTTGTTTTTCATGATAGGACCATTAGCTGCTGGAGCTTCTAACTGATACTTGATGGAAAAACAACAAATCTAGATGCTAATTGGAAGCTAACTGACATAACCAATGTTCAGTAGCATCTCTGGTTAGATGTTCACATTAATCCTGAATGTTACTGGATGGAAGAACAGTAATTTCTTTAGTGGCAGCTCATTTCAAATTCAAATTTTCTATCAGATGAACAAACATCAGCAAACACAAAAACTGTTTGTGTGCAGTTTGTTGCACAGTGTGTTGCTAGTTAAAGGTCTAGCTGCTGTATTTCACAGGAAGAGAAAAGAGTGCAAGATAACTTCACTCAGAGATGGAGAAAGATGTAAGAAAATACAGGACAGAAGAGGAAGAAAGAAGGTTATATTTAAAGGTAAGGGCTGCTTGATAAACTGCAGATTTAATGCTTACATGTAATGTCATCGTTTTAATTACATAATGGATTTGTATATGATGTGTTTTGATGAATTATGTATTTTCATTTTGGAAAATGTCCTACAAAACAAACAAAGCTATACAAACTTGTGTTATTCAGATGTTGCATGAAAGTCCTAGTTTTGTGAAGGGCAAACAGGTTAGCTCACATTAATGTGGTGAGTTTTTTTTTAGTAAAGCACTGTGTTGGACTGGTGCATAGTGGCCTTTGGTCCTCATTGTCAAAATTAGGTTACATCAAGTGTAGCAGAGATGAATTTGTATTTAAGCTGATGATGCTTAGATTTATTCACTTAATTGCATAAAGATAGCATACATATTGTAGTGTGGAGTGAATTCAGTTACGTAAATCTACAAAAAGCAGCAGGTTAGCTGATCACATCATATGCACTGAGAAAACCTACTGAAGCTCACATTAGAAGAAACTGGACTGTTTTGGTGTGGAGTCAGTCACCTCTAGAGTGTAGGCAACAAAAAAAATGTTTCTTTTTGTTTGTTTGTTTGTTTTTTTTTAAAACCTTTTTCACTGCAGGTGTCCTCAATAACAGATTCAAGCTAAGTATATTCATTACACTTGGATTTGTAATTTGGATTTATTTGGATTAATATATGGGTTCTTTTGTACAAATATGAACTTATTATCATATTGACACAGCCCAAGGTTCAGTTACCTTTGTACAAAAATCTTTTAATAGAATTGTCCTTGATGCCTCAGTGCTTCAACATTTACAGGAGTATTTTTTTAACCCAGGTATCTGTACTTCTACTTTTAGTAAAGAAAGTCTGTACTTTTGCAACCTTGGGTGACGTGGATGTGAAGTCAGCAGCATGGATCAGTGTGAGGACAGAGAGGAGGGTGTCCCTCTCTCTAAAACCACTCTGTGTGGGGAACATGAGAGCCAGACCGAAGCTCAGAGGTGAGATGACATCTCTAATTGTCTATGACTCTTCTCCATGTCACAGCTCAGCACTCACATCATTGATCCATCATTATTCACAGGAACCAACCTGGACCTGAACCCAGTTGTGTGTCCTTAAGGAGTGACTGGTCTGAAGAGCGCCTCATTCATTTTAAAGGAAACCAGCGGTCTGCTGCAGAGAGGTGAGCTGTTAGTAACATGAACTCTTTGATAGCTCAAAGGAAGTCACTGAACGAGGAATTCCTTTATTCTATAAAACGTGTCCAATATGTACACGTATAACATGTGCTTCAAATGTCTAGTTAGTCTTTTCCCCTTAATATAAAAACAGAATATTGTACTTAAAAATGTATATTGATTTGTGTGTTATTAATTCTTCTGAAACAGTAATGCATTCTCATAAACTTAGAAGTAATTAGAATTAGCAATGAAAACATGAAGGCGTGTTAGAGCCCTGATGTCAGTTCAGGAGATAGAACTAAGGTGAAAAGGAAAAGTAAAACATTTTAGTAAGATGTTAGTGACATCTAAATAAAATTCCTGAACATATGTCAGGCTCTAACACACAAGAAACAGCACTAACATGATCATTTTTTTCTGATATTGTTAAAATAACGTAATGTCACCATATTACTCATGCAACCCTTCCATTTCTGTATAGCAGACAACAGGCTGGGAAACAAACAAAACAAGTTAGCTATAATCTAATGTTATGCCAGCTAATGTTAGGCTTCAGTGTCCTAAAGGTCCCACTTTTCCGCTGCTAAGCAGTTTACATTCTCACATCATTTGACAGTTTATTCAATAAGAGCCTAAATTCAACAATATTTGTCAAACTCAAGTTAAGTCAAGTGGCTTTATTGTCATTTGAACCTTAAAGAGTGGCACAGTATACAGTGAAACAAGACGGTGTTCCTCCAAGACCATGGTGCTACATTTAACAGCAACAGTAATATCCACTTTAAAGAAAGTTCCACTAATGCTGGCTAACAGCAGCAAAAACAGCAGCATTTACTAATAGGAATCTTAAGAATATCCTTAATTCACCCCAGCATCACTGTCACTCAACAGAAGTGACCTTCACTGACTCACTGAGTCGTATCTGAGTAAATATATGTGGATGAGATTAACAGCAGCCTGACAGCCTACATACAGATGAATGGCAGCCAGAGTTGTTTGCCCAACAGCTGCCACCATACTTAGGATCATGCACGCGTATGATTTTGAGATGTAAAAAAAAAACAGAAATCAGTTGCCATTAATGTGCAATCTACTGACATGTGGTGGGAAAATTATAAAAACTATAACTTTGAAATTGTGCTGCTTATAGCAAGACCATCAGTACTTCTGCAATTGTGCAAATGGTGGTGTTTACTGTGGGTGACACTGTTACACTGCCAACGCTAGTTTGGAGTTTCCTTCTGCTCATGCTCAACATACAAATTAGTTTTTCAGATCATGAAGGTATTCTAAGTCTTCATCAGTTTCTGTAACAGGAAATTTAAAAAAGATTATTTTCTTTTCTGTTTAACAGGATCTATGAGAGACCTGAATCTGGAGCTGAACCCAGCTGTGTGTCTTTAAAGAGTGACTGGTCTGAAGAGCGCCTCATTCACTTTAGAGAACACCAACCATCTGCTGAAGAGAGGTGTCACTAACATGAACTCTTTGATACCTGTCAGTTTGGTTTCCTGATTTAAATGAACGTCTCGATGTTGTTTTGGTCTCTAAATTGCATTTCAATGAAAGTAAATGAGTGATTAATTCCTTAATTCCATAAAACATGTTCAACATGTACATTTAAAGGTCCAGACAGTCATTTTTTGTTGTTATTTAATAGACAGAGAGAATTTAAGAGAATTTAAAGGCATTCATATGCCATGGAGACAAATTTTAACTTGTGTCTGCATCTTCAGACCCAAGATATGATGGATCACACCTATATTTTATCATCTGAGGAGGTATCCCATTCACCAAAGAAGCAGAAATGTGAAAGACAAAGACGGTGCAACTTTCATTTGGATAAATTGCCATCCTCTTCCTCCTCACATCAACTCTCATTTCCTGAACTGAAGTTAGGGCTCTAATAAACAAAAATATGTATGGACATGCTAATTTAGTCCCGATATTGTTGCAATTACTTATTGTACTTATTGTAACTCAAACTGCTCATAGTAAGACTATCAATTGTTCTGCATACTGTAAATCAGCGGTCCCCAACCCCCGGGCCTCGGACCGGTACCGGTTTGTGAGTCGTTTGGTACCGGGCCACGAGAGTTGAGGCTCAGGTGTGAAGTGTATGGTTTTCAAGGTTTTTATCGGTTTTCAGCGTTATTTTGTTATTGTTTTTATTGTTAACTCTGTTTTCCTGGGTCTTTTCATGTGTGTTATGAATAAATCTTCTTTTTTTCGGTACCGGTACTAGTTTTATTTTGTTGTATTTATCCACGACACCTTAAAGGCCGGTCCGTGAAAAAATTGTCGGGCATAAACTGGTCCGTGGCACAAAAAAGGTTGGGGACCGCTGATGTAAATGACTATTTGTCTGTCACCTGTTGTCCTATTGTTACACTGCCAACACTAGTTTGGAGTTCCCTTCTCATCATGCTCAGCCTGCAAATCATTTTTTCTTTTGGATGATGAAGGTGTTCTAAGTCTTCATCAGCTTATATAGCAGCAAAAGAAAAGTACATTTTTCTTCTCTGTTTAACAGGATCTATGAGAGACCTGCTGAACCTGGAGCTGAACCCAGCTGTGTGTCTTTAAAGAGTGACTGGTCTGAAGAGCGCCTCATTCACTTTAAAGGACATCAACCATCTGCTGCAGAAAGGTGATCTGTTAGCTACATGAACTTTTTAATGAACTCCAGTTTGGTTTTCTGATTTGAATAAACTGTGTGATGTTGTGTCATGGTCTCTAAACTACATCTCAATGGAAGTCAGTGAGCAAGGAATTCTTTTATTTTAATAACCATGTCCAACATGTACACGTAAACTCCTGTTAATGTTATCGTATACAAATTGCAGTCCAAACACATCATTCTCTCTAATACTATATAAATTGTCTCTTAAAAGCATTTGATAACTGAAATTCCACTTCAGCAAACATAGAATAATGTTTATCCAAATTCTTTCTTCTATCATTTATGTTGTGTTGTATACTGTATAATGTAAGATATCCTTATTGATTTTACCCCAAATTATCAAGTAGTATTCACTGAAATCTAGTTTTCATACAAATTGCTACTGTATCTGAAAAAGAACTACTGTATTTGTACAATAGTTCTAGATAAGGATGGACATCCAGACTTCAAACATACAAGCAAAAAGGACCTGTGAAGTTGTTACAAAAAACAGAAAAAAGGAAAAGAGAATAATATAGTTTTTTGTACTCACTATCTCACTTTATTAGCTCCATGCACATATTAGTCACATGCATGATTAACTCTTAACTCTTTTATGTGCCACCTTGACAACTCCCTTTAAACTGACTTCACTCTGAGTTACTTATACAAACCTGAGTTATCATTTACTAAACAGTAGCATTCTGATATTAATGTGTAACCTTAATTAGTTAAACTTTTCTGTTTTAAAAAACAGTAACTTCTTATAATAATGACTGTAACATAAAGATCTCACACCAGGTTTACAGATTATTCTATTTCTTTGAAGTGTTTTGTTATGTCCATCACCTATCCTGAAGTGTTTCTGACAAGAACTCTGTTGTTCTTGGAGAGTAGATAGATTTTAAGTCCCATGAATAGTCCAGCCGGGTTATTACCAGTAGGTATTATAGCTGTTGCTCTGTAGCATATCAGTTCTAGCAGTGGATCCTCTTTTTATCAGAGGGAGTTTGTCAATCTGAACAGCATGCTTTGCAAGAACATTTCCTTGGAGGTTGTGTAGACTTCATTTGACATTAACAATGCCATAGTCTCTACAGAAGTCTTTTTCAATCTCACTAATGTACTGTCGACTGTTTTCACTAGTTATTATAATAATAATAATTTAAATTCACTTTTATTTATTCTGCTGCTTCATATTGTGAGGTAAAAAACCCTACAGGAATACAGAGAAAGCCCCAATATGCTGAGGGTACTTCAACATAATTTCTCATTAGCTCAGTCACTGATGCATATCACGACTCTTTATGATTTCAACATTATCCCTTTTTATTTCAGTTATATAGGAATACTTTTTTCTCTCAATGAATTGTTTTTTAAATCATACATTGTAAAATAAGAGATTCTCTGAGATTCTTCAGTCTTCTTAGTGTCTCACTTATTCCTTCCTCTCATTCCTATCACCCCTTACACAAAGAGACTCTCTGAGACCAATATCAGCATTAAGATAAGAGATAAGATAAGATATACCTTTATTAGTCCCACAAGGGTTAATTTCATGTTAAGGCTGCTCACCTACTGCACACAATGGCGGCGCCATCTTACCCTCCGACCATACATACATTACACAAAAACATCACATGGGCAAGACAGGTCAGAGAGGTATAACAATGGAAAATACACCACATGAGGACAGATAAGGAGAAAAAAATAACTCCCTCCAAACTGAGCTCCAATAGGGAGATCAGTTTGAGAACAAAAAAAAACACCTCTGCACATAGCACATGAAAAAACTCTTAATACACCAAAGAAACACATGACAAGCAACAGGGGTGGGTAAAGGGTAAGGGACAGCCAATGTAGACAATACATCCGGGCCTGCAGCATATGCGCTGGTCTCCTTGATCCACCGTCAGCATTGGAGGGGAATTAGTACTAAACATACCACTCCACACAAAATCTCAGTTAAAAGTCAGGTATTGGAATCATTTCAATGGTTGGGCTATTTTTTTTCTTATTCATCATATTGATTAGACCTTTATTCGATTATATTCTGACTAGAATTAAGCATCACTAACTATTAGCACTTTACCCATAAAAAGACTGCATGTTAAGTCATTTTATTCCTTTTTTCGATAAAGTTAAGCTGGGGATCTTGATCTCTATGACAGCGTGCAGTCCAGTCCTCTGCCCTTTGTTTATCCAGAGAAAGCCACATATAAAAAATCCAGTGGAAAAGAATTCATTTTTGTGTCCATGAAAATGGATGGCACAGTAAATGGTTCTTTAAATTCAAGGAAAAGACTCAAGTTCTTGGACTTCTTGGAGTAAGGATTTAAACAAGATTGAACAAGATTAAAACCAAGATTGACTGATATTTCCAGAATCTGATATACAGTTTAACGTTTCAAACTTGAAGTTTGCTGAGCATGAAAGCTTATCAGAACACGGCAAGAACTTAAACTCAAAGAAAAACATTAAACTGAGCTGTTGCTTCTTAGTCGGATCAGCAAGAGTAGTAAACTTTTACAATTACAGGAGTCCTCTCGATAACTGTCTTTGTCAAAGTGTAATTTCCTGGACCTTTATTCAGTGCCTGAACTAATTTTTCATGATTTCTCCACAGAGTGGACTGGGAGAGCTCAGAGGTTCCCAGTGGTCAGTCTGCCCAGCAGCATCAAACATGTCTGGAAAATATATTTATGGTCTGTACTCTGTACATATATAACAACTACTTTTACAGCTATGCTGGTAACAGATATCATTGCTCTTTGTAGATTTCTGGATTATCTTAAATGTTCAACATAGCTCTGCTTTTTGGCTCCATGATTGGGTCTGATTGGGTCATTTGTATAGTATTCTGTTACAGCGGCTGGAGGACAACATCATCACTTTTGTGAAGATGGAGCTGAAGAAAATCCAGAGACTTTTGAGTCCAGACAACCCAGAATGTTCAGAGAAACAGCAGGGAGGTGGGACCTTGGACAGTAAAGATGAAGAAGAGCAGATGAGGAGTGGGAGAGGGGCTATTCTGAAGATTGCAGTGCAGTTCCTGAAGAGAATGAAGCAGGAGGATCTGGCTGAGCGTCTATGGAACCGTAAGGGGATTTCTCTTAAAATTTCAACCTCTGGATAAATAGAACATTTATACTTAGTCTTCAGGCAATTGGAATTTTTGGATAGTTATGCACAACTCGTTACTTTAATTTATTACTTGTGTTTTTTCAGAAGTGCTTTCTCCACTTTGTGAATGTGAACTTAAATTGAACCTGAAGAAGAAGTTCCAGTGTGTGTTTGAGGGGATTGCTAAAGCAGGAAACCCAACCCTTCTGAATCAGATCTACACAGAGCTTTTCATCACAGAGGGAGGGACTCCAGAGCTCAGTGATGAGCATGAGGTTAGACAGATTGAAACAGTATCCAGGAAATCAGACAGACCAGAAACAACAATCAGACAAGAAGACATATTTAAAGCCTCAACTGCAAGTAATCAAACAGTAAGAACAGTGCTGACAAAAGGAGTGGCTGGCATTGGGAAAACAGTCTTAACACAGAAGTTCACTCTGGACTGGGCTGAAGACAAAGCCAACCAGGATATCCAGTTCATATTTCCATTCACTTTCAGAGAGCTGAATGTGCTGAAAGAGGAAAAGTTCAGCTTGGTGGAACTTGTTCATCACTTCTTTACTGAAACCAAAGAAGCAGGAATCTGCAGCTTTGAAGACTTCCAGGTTGTGTTCATCTTTGACGGTCTGGATGAGTGTCGACCTCCTCTGGACTTCAACAAAATTAAACTTCTGAGTGACCCTAGAAAGTCCTCCTCAGTGGATGTGCTGCTGATAAACCTCATCAGTGGGAATCTGCTTCCCTCTGCTCGCCTCTGGATAACCACACGACCTGCAGCAGCCAATCAGATCCCTCCACAATGTGTTGATTTGGTGACAGATGTCAGAGGGTTTACTGATCCACAGAAGGAGGAGTACTTCAGGAAGAGATTCAGTGATGAGGGGCAAGCCAGGAGGATCATTTCCCACATCAAGACATCACGAAGCCTACACATCATGTGCCACATCCCAGTCTTCTGCTGGATCACTGCTACAGTTCTGGAGGATGTGCTGAAAACCAGAGAGGGAGGAGAGCTACCCACAACCCTGACTGAGATGTACATCCACTTCCTGGTGGTTCAGGCCAAAGTGAAGAAGTCAAGTATGATGGAGGAACTGAGACAGATCCACACTGGAGTCCAGAGAGCAGGACGATGATTGAGTCACTGGGAAAACTGGCTTTTCATCAGCTGCAGAAAGGAAACCTGATCTTCTATGAATCAGACCTGACAGAGTGTGGCATCGATATCAGAGCAGCCTCAGTGTACTCAGGAGTGTTCACACAGATCTTTAAAGAGGAGAGAGGACTGTACCAGTACAAGGTGTACTGCTTCATCCATCTGAGTGTTCAGGAGTTTCTGGCTGCTCTTCATGTCCATCTGACCTTCATCAACTCTGGAGTCAATCTGCTGGAAGAGGAACAACCAACAACAACCATGTTGTCTAAATTATTTAACAAACCAAAACTCCAGTATATCCACCAGAGTGCTGTGGAGAAGGCCTTACAGAGTCCAAATGGACACCTGGACTTGTTCCTCCGCTTCCTCCTGGGTCTTTCACTGCAGACCAATCAGAATCTTCTACGAGGTCTGTTGACAGAAGCAGGAAGTAAGTGGTCAAACAATCAGGTAACAGTCCAGTACATCAAGAAGAAAATTAGAAAGAATCTGTCTGCAGAGAAAAGCATCAATCTTTTCCACTGTCTGAATGAACTGAAGGATTGTTCTCTAGTGGAGGAGATCCAACAGTCCTTGAAATCAGGGCATCTCTCCACAGACAAACTGTCTCCTGCACAGTGGTCAGCTCTGGCCTTCATCTTACTGTCATCAGAAAAAGATCTGGACATGTTTGACATGAAGAAATACTCTGCTTCAGAGGAGGCTCTTCTGAAGCTGCTTCCAGTGGTCAAAGCATCCAACAAAGCTCTGTAAGTATATTTGTGCTCATCCATTTCGTTACAAAATATGGTTGATTCAGTGATTTCTTTCATCACAAGTCCATATCGTACCATATTACCAAATTACTTTTATTAATTTTAGTACAGTCTATCCCTCTTTAGTCTCTCAAAAACAATTAGAATGTGAACAACAAGCACCTACTAAATAAATCCCCCCCCCCCCCCCCAAAACAAAAAAAATGGCTTCAGTCCTTTAAACACCCATGTCAGGGCTGTATGCCTTTGCCATTTGGTGCTGAACTAATATCAATAACTGTATCTTTCACTCAGTGGTTTCCATTTAGATACAAAGAAAGAATTTAGTTTTCCCTAAACAAATTCAAATTATTTAAGATTTGTCCCAGGATAGCATTTAATTAACTGGCGAATTGTGTTGTTTGGCTCATCTGTATTCATCATTTGAATTTATCTAATCACATTTTCTTTCTCTTCTTTTTTTAGACTGAGTGCCTGTAACCTCTCAGAGAAAGGCTGTGAAGCTCTGTCCTCAGTTCTCAGATCCCAGTCCTCTAGTTTGACAGAGTTGGACATGAGTAACAATAACCTAAGGGATTCTGGTGTAGAGCTTCTGTCTGTTGGAATGGAGAGTCCACACTGTAGACTAGAAACTATCAGGTTAGCTCAGGTGATTTGTTTTTACGGGGAAAAAAATACATTATTAAACATAGGTAATTAATAGGGGTGCGACGATATTCGTATCGATATTGAACCGTTCGATACAGTGCTTTCGGTTCGGTACGCATATGTATCGAACAATACAAAATTTGTAATTTATTTTATCAACTTTCCTTCTGACGATGCTGTCTGTGTTGAGCGCTCAGTGAATCTGCGTTCGACTACTCCGCCCTG